GGCGAACCTGATAAAACGCCCCCCTGGTCACGGCCGACAAATGATCTTCCAGTGTCAGCCGTGGATCCAGGAGGACACCCAAGTTGCATGCCTTCTCTGAGGGGGCCAAAATTTCGCCCCCTATAGACAGCGATGGAGTCAGCTGACTATGCCGAGGCGCCGGCAGCCACAGCCACTCGGTCTTGGAAGGGTTGAGCCTAAGTCTGTTCCTCCCCATCCAGACCCGTACGGCCTCCAGGCAATAGAGATCACACGACTGCCGCCTTCATTTAATGACCGCTGCATTCCCAGTTATGACCTCTGCTTCCACACCTTGGATTGTTCGGTTTGCCTAACAACCGTCGCAAACCCCCCCCCCCACAACCGTTTTACAACGGCTACAATTCAATGGTCAGAATTCGACTGCAAAGCTCTGGGATTAAGACACTCAGTTTCAATGAACCCACAAGGAGGTCGTGTGAACGCTCTTGTTGAGCGTTGATCAGGCCATCCCCGGAGACAGTTGTGGTCTCTCTCAACAGATCCCCTTGCTCCATCGTATCATGGCCCACGCCGAGAGACCCCTCTCTCTGGTCTGCAGCCCTTGGACCAGTCCTGGCTGGCTAAGGGTCAACAACAAGGTTCAAGGCAAATCCAGGATAAAGGGAGAACCAGGTGACCGCTACCACAAGACCTTGGCTAACTACTTTATCAGGTAATAACACTTTTTCCATCTCATCCTGCCTCTGAATTTAGCAGGCTCCTCCCCTAGCCAAGCCCCAACTACCTCTTGGCTCCACCCCTTCTCAAACTCCACCCCAAATCACAATCTAGCCCCTCCCACAGGCAGATGTTCTTGAAAATCCCTGTAGATAAAGGTTAAGAGATCAGTGGGACAATATGCCCGGAGAAGCATTGTTCCATCTCTGTCTCCCACCCTGCTCCTGAGTAGTAGTAGGATATCGGTTTCTTTACTACAATCCTCCAGAGCAGTGTGTCTCAACCTTGGCAACTTTAAGATGGGGGGACTTCAACTCCCAGCATGCCCTAGTCAGCATCTGGCTGGGGGATTCTGGGAGATGTAATCCAGTTTTGTTTTTTTTAAAATGACAACTTTAAGATGGGTGGACTTTATCTTTATCCTGGCTGGGGAATCCTGGGAGTTGTAGTCCACCCATTTCTCCCATCCTTGTCCATCAGTTGCTCTAAGCCAAATTGGAAGCTAAATCTGGGATATTTAACTCAAACCTGTGGATTTATTTCTATCCCTTTGCCGATTCTGATGGAATATACCCCTTTTTGTCAGCCAGAGAGCTGGGAAATGGGGTTTTTTTAAAAAAAAAATAAATACAAGGGGCTTGAAATATTATTTTGTTTTCCAGGCAAAGAAACAGCATGCTAAATTAACATTGTTGCAATGTTCTGTATTTGAATCTAGGTTCCTGGATGAGTATGCAAAAAATAATATTACTTTCTGGGCGTTAAGCTCTCAGAATGAACCAATCCTTTTCCTTTTCCTAACTCTGGAAGACTTTCCGGTNTATAGTTAAATCAGGCAACAGTGAAAGGGGAGGAGAATAAGGAAAGCCCGGGAAAAAGAAACCGGAAGTAAATCACATCTTCCAAGTTAATTGGAAGATGTGAACCATGACCCCAAAATAGGGGAGGGAAAAATGCCTGGAATGTATGTGCAACGGAAAAGAATCTCAGATCTAAGCATTTCCACCATGCCGTACTGACGTCTCTGTAACCTTAATAAATGCTTTTAGGAAAAAATATGCCTGAAAGTCCTTTTAAGTCTTTCGTTAATCAGACACATGACATTGGAAGCATTTGAAATGTGGATTTACAGGCTATTACGTATAAGCTGTGTTGACAAGATCAGAAATGAGGAGGTGATCAGCCGCCTGGGAAAGCCAAGGGAAATCATCAAAACGATTAAAAAACGAAAATTAGAATATTTCGGACGTGAGATGCGACACCCAGAAAAATACGGCATACTCCATTTAATCCTCCAGGGAAAGATTGAAGGGAAACGAGGTCCAGGCAGAAGAAGAACATCGTGGCTTCAAAATCTAAGGGACTGGTTTGGACAAAACTCAGCAGCACTTTTTCGTGCGGCTACTGATAAAAACAGGATCGCCAACATGATCGCCAACGTCTGATAACGGATATGGCACAAGAAGAAGAAATAGAATGGAATATAAAATAGAATAGAAAATACAGAATATAGAATAGAATATAGAATAGAATATAGAATAGAATAGAATATAGAATAGAATAGAAGTAGAATAGAACAATAACTTTATTCTCACTTTAAATGTACACTAAGCAGCATTAAAATGAGATTTTGCTGCATACAGCTCTCAAAGTGTAACCACCTCCAATATACACTGCATAAACCTAACAAGAAAAATGAAATAAATTATGCATATACCCACATACAAACACGTATATGGCCCAGAAAGATGACATGTTGCAAGCAGAGGGTTAGCTGTATTTGAAAAGCCGTTAATAAGCACTTTGCAAAAGTTATTAGAAAAATCTATGTAAGCCCAGTGTCATCTTGAAGATGTTAATCCTATTTTAAGGAAGATGGATGTTCTTTTTCAGCCTTCTGAAGAATTAAACCTACTCGAGACTATTAAAATGTGGTGTCTTTATGAGGAACAACTGCCCGGAGCACTTTTGGGCAATCTCATATCCTTCTCTGCTTCTTAATTCCGCTGAAATTACTGGCACTGCTTCCATTTGCCATTTGTATCCAGGAAGTCTGTCTTCCTTCAATTTCATCCAGGTAAAAATTGACAGTTGAAGAAAGTTTCTTAATTGCTTTTTTGTGGTCAAGAAGGCGAGGTCTTCCAGCTCTCATATCAGAGGAGCATCATAAAATTCTGCTGCTAGAGCTGTCGACATCCGTCCCAGCATTCAGGAGTTGAGCCAGGAGCGGAGATCTCCTGATTCTTATTCTGTTCTCCCTGGGAACCAACATCAGCTTTCCAAGCTCTGGAATAAAGTGTTTGGCAGGTAGAAATAACATAGAATCCTGTGTTTGTCACGGTGCCGGGTAAGGGCAGGGCGGTGATTTCAGGATCCTAGAATGGGTGGAAAAAGTGATTCCAGGATCGCAGAATGGGGGAAAAAGTGATTTCAAGATTGCAGAATGGGAGAAAAGTGATTCCAGGATCGCAGAATGGGGGAAACAGTGATTCCAGGATTGCAGAATTGGGGAAAAAGTGATTCCAGGATCAGAGAATGGAGGAAAAAGTGATTCCAGGCTCGCAGAATGGGGAAAACAGTAATTCCAGGATCGCAATGGGGAAAAAAGTAATTCCAGGATCGCAGAATGGGGAAAAAGTGATCTCAGGATGGGAAAAATGTGATTTCAGATTGCAAAATAGGGAAAAAGTGTTTCAGGATTGCGGAATAAGGGGCTGATGTTTCGTATGGTGCTTTTGACTTTTTCGGCTGGAGGGCTAAGCCGCCTTATAAATGCATTAGTTTATAACTCGATCCTGGTTTTAAAAAAAACTCCGGCGAGAGAGAGCTACATTTTCCACGGACTGGCTTGTTTTTTTTCTCCCCCTGCAGGCACATTTCTCTAAAACTGGGAGGCTGGTGTTTGAGGGGTGTTATGTGGACATGTGATGCTTTGGGGGTGCTGTTCCTCATCCTCCAAGGGATGGTCGAGGTCAGAGGTCAGCCTTTGAGAAGCCTCCTGTGGGCGGGACTCTGTTGTGCTGGTAGGAGGGGCCTAAATTCACACACACCCCTTTTTTCTCTCTCTTTCCATTTTTGGTTGATTTTTAGCAAGCCGACCCTGTAGTCCTAAATTCCTCAGCTCACATGCAATGGTATGTGTTTGCAACGCAACGTATTGCGACACGGTGGAGCCGGTCACTCTCCCTGACGTCAACAACTTTGTCAAGTACACAACCAGCAGGGACGGCCAACGCTTGGAGCGAAGCCAAGGGCAAATCGATGCCAGACCAGGAGCTTCAGGTAAACCTGGGTTAGGGGTTGGACTAGATGACCTACAAGGTCCCTCCCAACTCTGTTAATTCTGTTTATTCTTTCATCTCAGCTGGGATCCTCTACGCATACGACCCCTCCGCTCAGTACCAATACATCAAAGGTTTTGGCGGGTCGCTCACCGACTCTGCGGCCATTAACATCCTGAATTTGTCTTTTGCCGCCCAGAACCAACTACTCCGGTCTTACTTCTCTGAAGAAGGTGAGGAAATTGGGAATGACCCGCTGGATGACAACTAGCAGCTCAGGGAAAGCTAGCATCCTGAGGCTCTGTCTTTCTTAAGTCAAGGATTGAAAACCGGAAAGGTTAGGCTGCGTTTAAAAGCAGAATGACATACCGTCTGAACAATCCAGGAAGTATTTTGTTTTGAAAGGGTGTTCTACTGACTTTATGCACCACCACCACCAACAAGGGAGGTTCTGCTATTTAATGTTTAATTTGCTCGATTTATGATGAACAAGAACGAAAACGTAGCTGAGGAAGAGAGCAATTCAGCGAAAATACAGTCTAAAGGAAAGGAAAAAGCAAGGGAGGGGAAAGGAATAAGATGACCTCTGACGAAGGACCACCTTTATGAGATGGTACTGGTGGCATTATCATTTTTTATTTTTATTTTTTGTGGATGTACTATGTTTTGTATTCCATTTTTTCTTTTTTTTTCTCTGATTGTGAAAATTAGAATCCGGGAAGACCAGAATCTCTTCCCCTTTTTCCCCCTTCTGCAGGACTTGAGTACAATTTGATACGTTTTCCCATCGGGTGCTCCGACTTTTCCACGCGGCCGTACAGTTACGCTGACCGCTGCATGGATGACTTTGAACTCAAGTGTTTTGAGCTGGCCCCCGAAGACACCAAACTTAGGGTGAGTTCGGCTAGACTTAACACCCACCCACTGGGGACAGTGTGTGTGTGTGTGTGTTCCAGGCTGTGTTTTGGCAAAACCGCACCCGTCGCAAACAATGATATCACCCTTGCGACTTGTGTCGCAGGCTGGTTTCTGTTGTGCACACCAATTGGAGGTGTGGGGTCCTTGGTGCTCTCTGAGCTGGGTGGTTTTCTTGCAGACATTTCATTACCCATCTAGGTAACATCATTAGTGCTAGAAGGGAGGGGAGTTTGCAGAGAGAAGCGGAAGGAGGAGGAGGAGGAGGAGGAGGAGGACTGTGGGGTCCTTGGTACTTTCTGGGTTTAGTTGTTTTCTTGCAGACATTTCATTACACAACTGGGTCACATCATCAGTGCTGGACTATTTGTCTGGTATTAATCCCAGCTTATCTGGACATTGACTGCTGCAGAAGATGTCTTGTGGACTTTTTGTTTCCTTCTTAGCTTGTTTCTTGTCTCTTCTGAATGCTGTGTAAATGTGGTTTATCTCTAGTTGCCTGTTGATGGCCAGCCTTGCAGCAATTCCCCAGTATTTTTTTTTGGATTTAGCTCGATCTGGGGTGCTCACGGTTTCCCATATGTTGTGAAAATGTAGAGTTTTCCCTGTGTCTTCTGACTGCCCACCAACCCTGACAGGACTAACTACTGTATATAAACAGAGACTAAACTGCGCTGATGATGTTACCTAGCTGGGTCATGAAATGTCTGCAAGAAAACCAACAAGCTCAGAGAGCACCAAGGACCCTACAGTCCTCCTCCTCCTCCTCCTCCTCCTCCTCCTCCTCTCGGCAAACCCCTTTCCCTTCTATCACTGATGATGTTACCTAGTTGGGTAATAAAATATCTGCAAGAAAGTCACCAAGCTCAGAGAGCACCAGGGACCCCACAGTTCAGCCCTGGGCTACAAACTCTTTCTTCTCTCAGTGCCAGATGGAGTTATCAGCTAATTAGTGTGTCAGTCCCGATTTGCCAAAATGCCTTCCCTGAATCTGACCAACCATAACTTGTCATGAGGATACTTGCCCTTTGTTTTTAACGTATCCCTTTAATTGGCCGGGTAGCTAGAATTCTCTGGAAGTACTACAAACTGTGTATTATTATAGCATAATGACATAATGAAGCAAACAATCGTTCTTATAATTTTTGACTCAAATTACTCCACGCCCGAGGCCTGTGGTTCAAAATAGGCAGGATAATAAAGTTTTTTTTTCAGCTTTTCAAAAGGAAGGGAACAATCCCGAAATCCCTTAGGCAGCTTCTGCGGCTCAAGGGAGAAGTGGACCCTGGATTGCCCCACAGCTAACCAACCCCTGCCCCATTGAATCGGATTAACTGTCAACTAGCAGGCATGGCAGAAGAGAAAAAGAGGCTGCGGAGGGTAAAGGAAAGATGATATAGGTTCTCCTGCTTGAGCAGGGGGCTGGACTAGAAGACCTCCAAGGTTCCTTCCATATTCTATTCTATTCTATTCTATTCCATTCTATTCTATTCATTCCTTATTCTATTCCTAATTCTATTCATTCCTTATTCTATTCCATTCCATTCCATTCCATTCCATTCTATTCTATTCTATTCTATTCTATCCTATCCTATCCTATCCTATCCTATCCTATCCTATCCTATCCTATCCTATTCTATTCTATTCTATTCTATTCTATTCTATTCATTCCAAATTCTATTCTATTCCTAATTCTATTCCTAATTCTATTCATTCCTAATTCTATTCATTCCTTATTCTATTCTATTCCATTCCATTCCATTCCATTCCATTCTATTCTATTCTATTCTATTCTATTCTATTCTATTCTATTCATTCCTAATTCTATTCTATTCCTAATTCTATTCCTAATTCTATTGATTCCTAATTCTATTCATTCCTTATTCTATTCTATTCTATTCTATTCTATTCTATTCTATTCTATTCTATTCTATTCTATTCCATTCCATTCCATTCCATTCCATTCCATTCCATTCCATTCTATTCTATTCTATTCTATTCTATTCTATTCTATCCTATCCTATTCTATTCTATTCTATTCATTCCAAATTCTATTCTATTCCTAATTCTATTCCTAATTCTATTCATTCCTAATTCTATTCATTCCTTATTCTATTCTATTCCATTCCATTCCATTCCATTCTATTCTATTTTATTCATTCCTAATTCTATTCTATTCCTAATTCTATTCCTAATTCTATTGATTCCTAATTCTATTGATTCCTAATTCTATTCTATTCTATTCTATTCTATTCTATTCTATTCTATTCTATTCTATTCTATTCTATTCTATTCTATTCATATAGATAGTCCTTGATTTACAATCAATTGCTTAGGGACCATTTGAAGTTATCACCTACCTGAAAAAGGGGACCTTCAACCCATTTTGGAAATTCCTACGGTCAGCCCCCACCCCACCCTCTCCACGGTCATGTGATCACACTTAGTCTCTTAGCAACAAAGCCAAATTTACAGTTGTTTCCAGCACCCNATTCTATTCATATAGATAGTCCTTGATTTACAATCAATTGCTTAGGGACCATTTGAAGTTATCACCTACCTGAAAAAGGGGACCTTCAACCCATTTTGGAAATTCCTACGGTCAGCCCCCACCCCACCCTCTCCACGGTCATGTGATCACACTTAGTCTCTTAGCAACAAAGCCAAATTTACAGTTGTTTCCAGCACCCTACAGTCGCATGCCCACATTTTCTGACAATTTTTGGTGTCGGCAAAAACACACCCCTAGCAAACAGTGAGATCACACGACTGCCGCCTTCATTTAATGACCGCTGCATTCCCAGTTATGACCTCTGCTTCCACACCTTGGATTGTTCGGTTTGCCTAACAACCGTCGCAAAAAAACCCACCCCACAACCGTTTTACAACGGCTACAATTCAACAGTCAGTATTCGACTGCAAAGCTCTGGGATCAACACAGTCAATGTCAATGAACCCACAAGGAGGTCGTGTGAACGCTCTTGTTGAGCGTTGATCAGGCCATCCCCGGAGACAGTTGTGGTCTCTCTCAACAGATCCCCTTGCTCCATCGTATCATGGCCCACGCCGAGAGACCCCTCTCTCTGGTCTGCAGCCCTTGGACCAGTCCTGGCTGGCTAAGGGTCAACAACAAGGTTCAAGGCAAATCCAGGATAAAGGGAGAACCAGGTGACCGCTACCACAAGACCTTGGCTAACTACTTTATCAGGTAATAACACTTTTTCCATCTCATCCTGCCTCTGAATTTAGCAGGCTCCTCCCCTAGCCAAGCCCCACCTACCTCTTGGCTCCACCCCTTCTCAAACTCCACCCCAAATCACGATCTAGCCCCTCCCACAGGCAGATGTTCTTGAAAATCCCTGTAGATAAAGGTTAAGAGATCAGTGGGACAATATGCCCGGAGAAGCATTGTTCCATCTCTGTCTCCCACCCTGCTCCTGAGTAGTAGTAGGATATCGATTTCTTTACTACAATCCTCCAGAGCAGTGTGTCTCAACCTTGGCAACTTTAAGATGGGGGGACTTCAACTCCCAGCATGCCCTAGTCAGCATCTGGCTGGGGGATTCTGGGAGATGTAATCCAGTTTTGTTTTTTTTAAAATGACAACTTTAAGATGGGTGGACTTTATCTTTATCCTGGCTGGGGAATCCTGGGAGTTGTAGTCCACCCATTTCTCCCATCCTTGTCCATCAGTTGCTCTAAGCCAAATTGGAAGCTAAATCTGGGATATCTAACTCAAACCTGTGGATTTATTTCTATCCCTTTGCCGATTCTGATGGAATATACCCCTTTTTGTCAGCCAGAGAGCTGGGAAATGGGGTTTTTTTAAAAAATAAATAAATACAAGGGGCTTGAAATATTATTTTGTTTTCCAGGCAAAGAAACAGCATGCTAAATTAACATTGTTGCAATGTTCTGTATTTGAATCTAGGTTCCTGGATGAGTATGCAAAAAATAATATTACTTTCTGGGCGTTAAGCTCTCAGAATGAACCAATCCTTTTCCTTTTCCTAACTCTGGAAGACTTTCCGGTCAATATTTTCTTACCCCAACATCAACGCGACTTTATCATTGAGGACTTGGGCCCCGCCCTCGCCGCCAGCCGCCATTCTGATGTTCACCTCATCATCCTTGATGACCAGAGGAGTAGCTTGCCATACTGGGCCAACCAGGTAGGTTTTCAACTGTAGGACGTACCTACCCTACGGCGGATGGTCCTCGACTTACGACGATTGGGCAGGACCAGGATTTCCGTTGCTAAGCAAAGCCACGAGTGAGCGAGCTGCATCCCATCCCAATCTTTTTTCGCCATGGTGGTTAATATTTCCATTGCTAAACGAGACAACAGTTAAATTAGTTTGCCCCATTTTATGACCTTTCCTGGCACGGTTGTTAAGTGAATCGGTCGTTAAGTGAGTCACACGATTGTTAAGTGAATCTGGCTTCCCCATTGACTGTGCTGGTGAGAAGGTCGCAAAAGGGGATCATGTGACCCCAGGACACTGCAACTGTCATAGCTATGAGTCAGTGGCCAAGCATCTGAATTTTGATCCATGGGGAGGCTGCAATGGTCGTGTGAAAAACGGTCATATAAGTCACTTTTTTTAATACTGTTGTAACTTGAATGGTCATTAAATGAAATGTTGTACATTGAAGCTCTCCTTCCCTCCATCTGTTGCCTGACAGGTGTTAGGCAATAGTACCGCCGCTGCCTTCGTGTCCGGAATTGGCATCCATTGGTACCTGGACTTCGTCATCCCACCTGGACCCACTTTAGATGTTACACATCGCCTCTACCCCGATTTCTTTCTGCTCTACACAGAAGCTTGCAATGGCTTTCTGCCTTCGATTGTGAAGGTCGTCCTGGGAAACTGGGAAAGAGGCACCCGTTACAGCAGAAATATCCTGACGGTAAGGGAGCCCTGTTTATCGACCCGTCTTTTCAGTTCCTCATCCTTCAAAGGGTGTCGTAGCATTTTTGGGAAGCTGAGCCAGTTAAACAAAACTCTCCTAGACCGGAACAGAATAAGAACAGAACAACAGAATAACAGAACCAAGTTGGAAGGTACCTTGGAGGTCTTCTAGTCCAACCCATTGCTCAAGCAGAATAACAGAATAGTAACAGAGTTGGAAGGGACCTTGGAGGTCTTCTAGTCTAACCCCCTGATCAAGCAGGAAACCTTATCCCATTTCAGAAAAATGGTTGTCCAATCTCTTCTTGGAAACCTCCAGTGGTGAGGAAAGAAGGAAGGAAGGAAAGGAAGGAAGGAAGGAAGGAAGGAAGGAAAAGAAAAAGAATAGCAAAATAACAGAATAACAGAACAGAATCTGGAAGGGACCTTGGAGGTCTTCTAGTCCAACCCCCTGCTCAAACAGGAAACACTATCCCATTTCAAACAACTGGCTGTTCAACCTCTTGGCGCACCCACAACTTCTGGAGGCAAATTTTGATATTTAGAGAACCTTCCCTCTCCAGTTTTCCATGACTGCAAAACAAACCTTGGTCTGAAGCTTGCTTCTTTTAGATTTTGCTCAACCCAGAAATCTCTTTTTTTTCCCCCGGCATGCAAAGGGAAGGGTTGTTGGGCTGTAGCGCAACCGGTAAAGCCGCCGATGCTTTGGTCTCTGCAGAATCTCAACCACTTTGTCACAGGGTGGATTGACTGGAACTTGGCTTTGGACATGGAAGGGGGTCCCAACTGGGTGGACAACCCTGTGGACAGTCCCATCATTGTGAACCCCCTTAAGGATGAATTCTACAAACAGCCCATGTTCTATCACCTGGGACATTTCAGGTAAACTCCGCCAAGATGGTTTTGCAAGGGGTTGAGGAAGAGAAGAATGAGCAAAACAGTAATAAAGATGCGCTAAAATGGACTTATCCAGTAGCAAGGAATTCCGCAGGCTGCCGAGGAAATGGTGGAGGGAAGGAGGCAGTTTTATGCTTAATAGTTCGTGGAATTAGATTAAGGTGCAATACTGACCTCTGTCCAGTGGTATCGCCTAACGCCTTCTCTCTTCTGGCCAGCAAATTCATCCCTGAAGGCTCCATGCGAGTTGGATTCACCTCCAGGTGCTTGTTTGACAGCTGTCATTTGAAGACCTCGGCTTTCCTGCGACCCGACGGCATTGGGGTGGTGGTGGTGCTGAACGAGTAAGTGGAGAGCGAACGAGTAAGTCTGGAGGAAAAACGGACCCCAAATTGGGAATGTTGTGGCCTGGATAAGGTCCCTCGCATGAAGTTCAGGGAGATGGAAAAAGAGAGAACAATTAGAGAAGAGACGGAGTAGCCCACAGCTGCATAGCGGACGGAGAAAGAAACTCAGAATAAACCTCCCCTAGTTTCTCAGTCTGTAAAAGAGACACGGGGAGATTTGTACTTCCAGACGTGCCAAATTGACGTCAGCCTTCGCAGGCAAGCCAGAGCTAATTCTACTTTGTTGTAAGGCTACATTAACAGAATCTTGCCGGTCTGAAAGTAGAAAAGTCTCACATCCCCCTTGACTTGAATTTCTCCTGTCTTTACAGCTGGTTTTTTGATATACCTTTTACCATCTCGGACGATCTGGTGGGTTACCTTAAGGACCAGGCGGGAGCATACTCCATCCAAACCTACCTGTGGAGGAGGCACCCTTGAGATCCTGAGACGGGGAAGGGAATCTGCTTCTCGCTCAGGAATGGCAACTTTCCGAGAAGAGTCCACAGCAGCTAAACCAGTGGAACATCAGTGGAACATCAGGAGACATCAGACTTGGTTGATACAACACAGACCCAATCACAACAGCTGGAGCAGTCTAATGATGATGCTCAGCCTTCGCCCCCCCCCTATTGATTTTGCATGTGGGAAGGTCACAAATTTTGATCACATGACCACGGGGAAGGCGGCAGCAGTCGTAAGCGTGAGGACCGGTTCTAAGTCGCTGTTTTCAGCGGCGTTGTAACTTCAAACGGTTGTTAAACGAACCGATGCAAATGGAGGACATCCTGTAATTTAAAAAATGTGTACGTTTGAATGATATTCAAACCTGTTTTCCAGAAGGAAATCTAAAAATAGGAAAACCAGTTTTGGAGATGAATTTATGAGATTTAAATGGCCATTGTTCTTGTTGTGTGTGTGTGTGTGTGTGTGTGTGTGTGTGTGTTGCCAAGTTTTTTTTGTGTTTTTTTGTAACATACCCTAAAAATTTGAGGCTGCTCTGGAAACCAGACCGGAGAGTTGAAAGAAAGCATGATAAATGCATTTTGTGTGATTAAAAGGACAGATCATCCTTAATTGTGCCCATTAAATATGCTTTTTAATCCAGTGAAATTTGAAGATGCCTCTGGAACATGGCTGGGAATTGAAAAAAGCAATGGTAAATTAATTCTGTTTTATTAAAAAGCAACCCCAGCCTACTTCATCCTATGTAATTATGTTAAATGATGTTGCTTGCTTATATCTTTTTAATATACTGAAATTTGGACCACTTCTGATACAAGGCTGGGACGTTTGAACGAGACCACTGTCAATTAATCCCGTGTTATTAAAAAAAACAACAACGAAAGAGACCCCAACCTAAGAAATACATCATTGTGTTCATTAATTATCCTTGATTTGGTTCAACTGGAAAAAATAGTTACCTTCAATCTCTCTCTCTCTCTTTTTTTTTAAACCTTTGTCGTCACTTTTCCTGCTGAATTTGCAGAAGCGAACTCAGCTTTGGATCCTGCACCTCTCAAGATTGAAAAGAAAGCTTCACTGTCCAGTTTGCAAAAGGCAGTTTTAAAAAAATCTGGGGATAATTTTTTTACAAAAATCACCGGAAGCTGATGTCCTTTGAGGAACGGATGGGTGTTTTGCGTTTAGCATCAGTCACAAATTGCTATACATTTAACAAAAGTCAAAGGCATGCATTTCTGCTTGTCCCACCCCCTAGCCATTACCTCAGAGAGGGCAAAGGACTGTATTGTTGTTAGCACATTAACCATTCCAACGAAAAATGGATGTGTGAACCAGTTAAACAGCTTTAAATAGCTTGCAAAGAAGTTTGCTAATAAACTTTAATTTCGTTTGCGGTTGTTCCCGAGTTCCTTTGGCAACTCATGTCGTTGTTTTTTAACACCGATGCACATTAAAAGTGACTCAGGGGTATTAGGTTTTCCCCCACACACACACATTAAACCCAGACTCAGTTCTAGCGTATGGAATGGAATGGAATAGAAAATAGAAAATAGAATGGAATGGAGAATAGAATATAGAATATAGAATATAGAATATAGAATATAGAATATAGAATATAGAATATAGAATATAGAAAATAGAATAGAATAGAATATAGAATATAGAGAATAGAATAGAATATAGAATAGAATACAATAGAATATAGAATAGAATACAATAGAATAGAAGTAGAATAGAACAATAACTTTATTATCACTTTAAATGTACACTAAGCAGCATACATTAAAATGAGATTGTGCTGCATACCACTCTCAAAGTGTAACCACCTCCAATAAACGCTGCATAAACATAACAAGACAAAAGAAATAAATTATGCATATACCCACATACACACACACCTGTGGCCCAGAGAAATGACCTGTTGTAAGTGGAGGGTTAGCTGTACTTGAAAAGCTATTAACAAGCAATTTGTAAAAATTATTAGAAAAAGAAGCCAGTGTCATCTTGAAGATGTTAATCCTATTTTAAGGAAGATGGATGTTCTTTTTCAGCCCTCTGAAGCATTAAACCTGCTGGAGACTATTGAATTGTTGTGTCTTTATGAGGAACAACTGCCCGGAGCGCTTTTGGGCAATCTCATATCCTTCTCTGCTTCTTCATTCTGCTGGAATTTCTGGCACTGCTTCCGTTTGCCATTTCTTTCCGGGAAGTCTGGCTTCCTTCAATTTCATCCAGGTAAAAATTGACAGTCGAAGGAAGTTTCTTAATTGCTCTTTTCTGGTCAAGCCAGTCAGGTCTTCCAGCTCTCGTATCAGATGAGCGTCATCAAATTCTGCTGCCAGAGTTGTTGACATCTGTACCAGCATTCACGAGTTGAGCCAGGAGCGGAGATCTCCTGATTCTTATTCTGTTCTCCCTGGGAACCAACATCAGCTTTCCAAGCTCTGGAATAAAGTGCTTGACAGGTAGGAATAACATAGAATCCTGTGTTTGTTACGGTGCCGGGTAAGGGCAGGGTGGTGATTCCAGGATCCCAGAATGGGTGGAAAAAGTGATTTCAAGATCGCAGAACGGGAAACGGTGATTCCAGGATCGCAAATTGGGGGGAAAAGTGATTTCAAGATCGCAGAATGAGGAAAAAGCGATCTCAGGATGGGAAAAATGTGATTTCAGATTGCAAAATAGGGAACAAGTGTTTCAGGATTGTGGAATGAGGGATAAAGCAATTTTAGGATTGCAGAATAAGGGGGGGTTGATGTTTCGTACGGTGCTTTTGACTTTTTCGGCTTGAGGGATAAGCCGCCTTATAAACGCATTAGTTTATAACTCGATCCTGGTGTAAAAAAAACTCCGGCGAGACAAGAGCTACATTTTCCATGGACTGGCTTGTTTTGACGAGCATCTGAAAAGGACTTTGTGGAGAGAGGATATTTCAGAGCGTTGTAGATGGGGTGGAGGCCGGATGGCTAAATATTTTGGAGACGGGAATGCTGAATTGGGAGAAACTCTTCCAGCTCTGTTATTCCGTTCTTCTGTTCCGTTCTTCTGCCTGCCGATACTCGCTCAGCCGTCCTGTTTTGGGTGCTTCAGTTCCGGTGCTGAAATTCACCTACAGGGTCATTATGAAGAATAAGCTGAGCTCAGGGTTTCCTGCCTGAGCAGGGGGTTGGACTAGATGACCTCCAAAGTCCCTTCCAACTTTATTATTATTATTATTATTATTATTATTATTATTATTATTATTATTATTATTATTATTATTATTATTATTATTATTATTATTATTATTATTATTATTATTATCTGGCAGATAAAATCAGTCGTATTTCCTCTCTGTTGGATTCCAGCCTTATAGCAGAGCCATTGAGGTGGTGGGAGCTACGCCTTGCATAGATTTGGGGTCCAGACTTCGGATTTGGGCTGCAAGAGTCCTGCATGAATCAATTAACAGCTTTGCAAATGATGCCCAGAAAAAAATGCATCCTTTTTTTTTTCTCCCCCTGCAGGCAAATTTCTCTAAAACTGGGAGGCTGGTGTTTGAAGGGCGCTATGCGGACACGTGACGCTTTGGGGGTGCTGTTCCTCATCCTCCAAGGGATGGTCGAGGCCAGAGGTCAGCCTTTGAGAAGCCTCCTGTGGGCGGAGTCCAAAGGAAAAATGGGAGGGGCTCTGTTGTGCTGGTAGGAGGGGCCTAAATTCACCCCTCTCCTTTTTTCTCTCTCTTTCCATTTTTGGTTGATTTTTAGCAAGCCAACCCTGTAGTCCTAAATTCTTCAACTCCAATACAATGGTGTGTGTTTGCAATGCAACGTATTGCGACACGGTGGAGCCGGTCTCTCTCCCTGACATCGGCAACTTTGTCAAGTACACAACCAGCAGGGACGGCCAACGCTTGGAGCGAAGCCAAGGGCAAATAGATGCCAGACCAGGAGCTTCAGGTAAACCTGGGCGAGGGGTTGGACTAGATGACCTACAAGGTCCCTTCCAACTAGTTAATTGTGTTAATTCTTTCAGCTGGGATCCTCTACGCCTACAATTCCTCCACTCAGTACCAATACATCAAAGGTTTCGGCGGGTCGCTCACCGACTCTGCGGCCATTAACATCCTGAATTTGTCTTATGCCGCCCAGAACCAACTGCTCCGGTCTTACTTCTCTGAAGAAGGTGAGGAAATTGGGAATGACCCGCTGGATGACAACTAGCAGCTCAGGGAAAGCTAGCATCCTGAGGCTCTGTCTTTCTTAAGTCAAGGATTGAAAACCGGAAAGGTTAGGCTGCGTTTAAAAGCAGAATGACATACCGTCTGAACAATCCAGGAAGTATTTTGTTTTGAAAGGGTGTTTTAATGACTTTATGCACCACCACCACCAACAAGGGAGGTTCTGCTTTTTAATGTTTAATTTGCTCAATTTATGATGAACAAGAATGAAAACCTAGCTGAGGAAGAGAGCAATTCAGCGAAAGTACAGTCCAATGGGAGTGGATCCACTGAAAGGCATAGCATGAAAGGAAAAAGCAAGGGGAGGGAAAAGGAATAAGATGACTTCTGACGAAGGACCACCTTTACGAGATGGTACTGGTGGCGTTATCATTTTTTATTTTTATTTTTTGTGGATGTATGTTTTGTATTCCATTTTTTTCTTTTTTTTTCTGATTGTGAAAATTAGAATCCTGGGACACCAAAATCTCTTCCCCTCTCTCCCCCCTTCTGCAGGACTTGAGTACAATTTGATACGTTTTCCCATCGGGTGCTCCGATTTTTCCACGCGGCCGTACAGTTACGATGACCGCTGCGTGGATGACTTTGAACTCAAGTGTTTTGAGCTGGCCCCCGAAGACACCAAACTTAGGGTGAGTTCGGCTAGACTTAACACCCACCCACTGGGGATGTGTGTGTGTGTGTGTGTGTGTTCCAGACTGTGTTTTGGCAAAACCGCACCCATCGCAAACAATGATATCACCTTTGCGACTGAAAG